AGCAAGGAATTAGATAAATTAGAATGCTGTGCATTGTTGGTAGGTTTGCAAAGTGTTATAACTGCTATGAGAAACACTACAGGAGTTTCTCAAAAAAATTAAAAGTAGAACCATCATATTATCCAGTGATTTCCTTCTGGGTATAAAACTAAAAGAATTATTCCTCTCACAGAGAAACAGAGAAGAATCACAATAAATGTTTCTAATCTATTTTACCATTTATTCTTTTTATTCTAACAAAGATAATATGTGAAGTTATAGAGATATTGGCTCATACCATAACAGAATTTCTCTTACTGGTTCATCTAAAAATAATTTCAAGAAAATTGTCAGCTATGCCATACAGAAACACTTTGGTCTCAAGAGATAGTCCAGAGCAGGACTATCAGGTTTGGTACTACTGGCATTTGGAGACAGAAAATTCTTTGTTGGCTGTGGAGGGCTGTCATACGGCATTACAGAATGGTTAGTGAATTCTTGTCTGTAGGAGCAGTAAGCCTCCAAGTTGTAACAAAAAATGTCTCCAGACATTGTCCTTTGTGGCACACAATCACCTGCAGTGCAGAAAATTTGAAGCCAAAGATGAAGTGATAAATTGGCACATATTACAAAAGTTAAAGTTCAAAGCAAAAAAGTTAATACATGGGATCTAAATGCTGATGTAAGATAGAATATACCACTAATACACAATACAAAACAGCAAAAAACTATTAGTGCTCATCACTATGTGAAACTGGTTAGAGCAAGGAAGGAAAGGATGAAAAATAACAGACTTCAAAATGTTGAGAATGGTTGCTAGAAAGAAAGAACATTCTAAAAATAGTATATGCCACTTTTTTTGGGAGTGTTCAAGGAAATAAAACCTGGTTATATTTGCTATTTTCCTCTTTTAGACTACCATCTGGCAACCCACACTTCCACTAGAAAAGAATTCTAGCCAACTGGACTAAAAATAGTTAATGCACCACCTCATGTGTCAAAAATATGCCAGAATCTAGAGTTTGCTCAGTCATGCTCCAAAAAAGGAAGACACTAAATGCCCTCAAAGGACAAAGGCAAATAACCCACAGTGTATTTACCCGACTGCAAAAGGCTGCCCCTTTCTTGGGGGAGAGACAGCCAAAACCATAGAAGGAAAAGCACAAGAGAAGTACTTTTACACAACAGGTCAGCTAATCAAATCCATTTATTAGATATCACCTTTCCCCAAAGATACTTAGAATTTAAAAAGGGGTAGAGGAGACTACTAATCAAATATAGCAGAGCATGACTGATTACAATTACTATATTTCCAGTCTCATGAGAATTTGTTAACAATGAGTAAAATAATGGGACAAATGGGTCAAATTCTTATAACACTCAAGGAGGAAGTCTAGAGATTTATATATAACAAATAGGAGGTTTATCACCATAACTGAATCTACAACTACATCTGTAAGTTGCCAAAAGACAAATGGCCACATCCAGCCTAGGATATCCTTTGAACTGTCTTTCAGTGATCCATGAAGACAGACTATGGTCCAAGAGCCTGGAGGCACCAATGATGAACTATAATTATCACACATAAGGATCGGAACACCCAGTGTCATTGTATACATACAAATCATATGTTTTAAAGGTCTTTTACAAGCAGTCAATCATTAGACATTTGGGGGAACAATGATGTGAAGAAAAGGTTGTAAGTTCTATCCCACTTTTTACCAACTAAAAAGCTAACACAGAAACAAAAACAGTTAACAGAAAAAATAGAAGGCTTTAAGTGCAATTATTAGTCTGACAGGGTATTGTACCATTAAGAACAAATATGACCTAAGAAAATTTTTAGTGAACATTCACATTTAGACGCATCTGTATGAAATGCTAGAAAACCAAAGACAAAAAGAAAATCTTGAGGATTTTCAAAGAGATAGAATAGGTTCAAGGCATTTTCAGACCTTCAGGGACTAACTATAGCCCAAGATCAAAAGAACTATTAGAAATCTTATAAATTAAAAAAATGAAACAAAGAATATTAAGTGAAAAAAATAAATTGCAGGATACCTTATAAATATCTTTATAAATGCTACTTATAAATGTTTTTAAATCTATCAAACATTATACATTATTACAGAAATATACAACAAAAATACATAAAAGTATTTATGGTCATAAATATATGAGATTAAGAAGTAAAAAAAAACGAGTCAGATGATTGACTTGACTATCTAAAAAAGAACAGCAGTCACCATCACCAGAATCACAGATGATCTCAACATTGGGAAATAGGTAAGATGGAGACAAAAAGAGAAATGTCACTCTTGTTCTAGTGCAGAGTACAGATATTAAATCTAGATATTGATAGTAAAAGCAATTACTTTATAAAAATTTTAAGACTAACTATAAAAATAATTTTGAAAGAGATATCTTTTACTTTCAAACTATTAGAGGAAACAACACAGAGAAGTCAACCAATCTAAAAGATAGTAGACTAAGCTGGGTATGGTGGTAAATGCCTATAATCCTACCATTCTGGGAGGGTGAAGCAGTAAGATCATAAATTTGAGCCCAGCTTATGCAATTTAACAACTTGCCAAGATCCCATTTCAAAAATTTAAAAGTAAATAAATAAAAAAATAAATAGGCCCGGATTTAACCCCCAGTACTTCAGGGTATGGGGGGGCTCAGACTACATTCAACAATATTTGTAGTCCTAATAAATGACTACAGATATATGAATCAAATTCATTACTAAAATAAGGAGACTCACACACTGGAATTTTAAAAAATATCCAACTACATACGATTTACAAGGTACATGTTAATAAAACATACGTAAATAAAAAGACAGGATAGGTGAAAATAAAGAAATGCAAAAATATACATCAGTAATTTTTAAAAAGTAAATACACCAATATTCACATGAGGCAAATTAGAAATATAAGAAACGTAACATCAAATGAAAAAGAAGTAAAATCTATTGACAAAATATGCAACTAGCTAAACTGTTGTGCACAAACTATGTATCTAATAACATAGCTTCATAATAGACAATAGAAAACTGATATAAAAAATGAAAGAAAGTTACTTTCATAATCATTTTGTGATTAGACCTTCTCAAAAGTATAAATTTCGAATAGGTAGAAAAGATAAACATAAACGGTTTTAATAAACCTGACCATATTACCAAAATACACAAAAATGTACACACACACAACTCCAATATAATGTAATCAATAAACAGCTCAACAGCTGACCATGTGTTAACTCATTTCCCCAAAAAAGTATCAAAATGTAAAATGCATAAACATGTTCTAGCTGGGTGCGGTGGTGCATGTCTGTAATCTGAGCACTCAGGAGGCTGAGGCAGGAGGATTACCATGAGTTTGAAGTCAGCCTCGGGTACACAGTAAGTTCAAAGCTAGCCTGAACTACATAGAGACCTTTTCTACAAACAAACAAACAAATACACAAAGCATATTCTATGATCATCTCTTACTAAAACATAAGGAGAGTCTATTAAACCTATTTTGTTTATTTTGTTTGTTTATTGTCAGATGGGCAAAAATGTAAATGGTAGTCTGGATGACAGCACAAAGAAACAAGAACTTCTGGTGGGAGTAAAAATTTATGATGCCTTTTTACAAAAACAATTTGGGTTTATCCACTAAAATTGAAATGTGCAAATCCTTTGACTCAGTAGTTGTACCTTTAAAAAATCCTCTTACTAAAATAACTTACATATGAAATGGTATGTAGTTCAACATGAATTATAACAGCAAAAACTAACAACCCAAGCTTCACCAATCAAAAATAGCTAACTTATCACAGTCTATCCATGTCATAAACTCTTAAGCACTGACTTGGCAAAAATCACGAAGACAAAGCATTTGTTTTTTTTTTTTTTTTTTGTCTTTTTCCTTTTTATCGGTACCAGGGATCGAACTCACGACTGCCTGCTCTCAAAGCAGGTGCTTATGCCGCTGAGCTAAATCCCCAGCCCCGTAAAGCATTTTTTTAAGTGTAAATGACACATGAACTATTCAAATTACATGAAGATGCAAAATGAATAGAAAAAGGAATGGAAGAATACTCAGTATAACTTGTGCTTTTAGAGAGGGACACATAAAGAACTTTCATGTGTAGTTTACTATTTAGTTTATATATGTTTCTAAGTATTTGAATCTTATGATTTGGGCTACTTGCGTAATTTTTAAAAAAACAGTAATTTTTTTCTAAAATATCTTATTTACTTTCCAGAAAAAAAAAAAAAAAAAACTGGCACTCTCTGCTCTTAGTACAGATATGATCAAATCCATATGAGACTACAAACACATACAAAACTTCCATTTGCCCAAATAAAATAACTTGCTGTGCTCTCTACTAGAAATACTCTTCCCTTAGATAGGGCTCACAACTTCACTTCTTTGAAATTTCCACTTACATAAATAGCAACTTATCTGAGGAGTCATCTCTGACTTTCACTATAAAATAACAACTTCCTCCACCCATCCTACCCCTAGCCAACTACCTTACCTGGCTTCATTTTCACAATTCACTAGCTGGATCTTCACGTACACTTTGGGTGGTTTGACTTATTGTCAAATCATAACTCAGAAGGCAGGATCTATGTTTGTCCACTACTGTTATCCTGAATGCCTGGGGAGTACTATCATTAGGTACTTGTAGCTATTAGTCTAATGCAGTTTCGTATCCAATACCTACTGACAGCTGAAATTACATGAAAAAGACTGATTATTTTTAAAGTAAAAGCAAACTTTCCCCATGTTAGTATGAGTCATTTGCAATAATTCAGTCTACTTTATAATCATATTCAGCAGCATGATTTGTTTAATGAATTATTTATTAACATCAACATGGAACTAAAACCCAGTGTGTGACAAGAAAACAAGAGGGGCCTGGCGACGTAGCTCAGCACACAGCACCCACCAGGCAGGCACAAGGTTGTGAGTTTGATTCCCAGCACCAAAAAAAAGCAAGAAAAGGAAACGAGTACAACTTACTTTTCATTTCTACTTTTGATGCACGGCTGGTATAGAACCTTGACAGCGTTACAGGAAGAACTGGAGTCTGATTTCAATGTGTCTTCAAATAAGGGAAACTTTTTGATCTGCTTGGAACATTTCAAAGATTCAGCCACCAAACTGTCTAAATTTAAAAGCCAGAGCTAAAGGTATAGAGAGAAAAGCTCATGTTAGGAAAATATTACCACTATAATTTTTATGACTATTCAGAAAAAATATCATAAAATATACCAGAAAAAAATGGAGACTCGTGTTTCTAGTTTGTAAGTCAGGTAGACTTTTCAAAGTATTTCATAGCATTAAAAAACAAAAAAACTAATTAAGGAAAAACATTTAATAAAAAATAATAATATTGTTTGTAATTTAGAGACCTTTTGGAGGGGCACGGAAGTCAGGGGCAAAAAACAAAGAGAAAAACGGGCAACAGGCAGGAATAGAACTAAGAAGAAATGTGAAAAACAAAAATAAAAAATGTTACTATGATTAATAAGGAAATGCAAAATTTCTATGTCAAAATTTTTCTTTCATGAGCTTAAAAAACATAGGAAGACTGACATCATCCAGTTCAGAACATGATTGGGATGAGCATTCCATACCCTGCTGAATGAAGAGTGCTTTGGGATTTGGAGGCGTGAGAGTCACTTGACAGAATGCTCCCAGGGCCAAGACTGAGATGGAGTAAGTTAATGCAGAGGGGAAAGCTGCTCAAGGCTGAAGGATGCAGGCTGCACTGCAACTGGGCTTCGGCCTGGTCCCATGATCACTCCAGAGCTTGAACTGGACCTACGACTTAAGACTCTGTGCTTCAAGTTCAAACACTGACAATAGGCTAATGAGGGCAGGGATGAGCAGGTGACAGTGAGGACTAGTAACTTTCTGGGCAAGGCAGTATCTGTCATCCAAAGACAAAAAGTACAGAAAGAGGCAGCTACAGCTATCAGCATCCAACAATGACCCGGATAGGATTTGTTGGTCAACAGTCAAGAGAATCTAGCTGGGACACTAACAATATCTACCTTAAGGGATAAATTAGTATGATGTTCTTGCAAACTGACCATTATATGAATTTAACATGTACAATTTCTAATAATTGCAAAGATTCATTTCTAAAGCAGTACTAAAATGTGTGTAAAGGGGCTGGGGATGTAGGTCAGCAGCACAGCACCTGCCTGACAAGTGTGAGATCATGAGTTTAATTCTCGGTACTAATAAATAAGTAAATAAATAGAATATATGTAAAAATTATTTTGTTGTGGCATTGTCCTTAACAGCCAGCTATACAGTGAAATTCCAACCATTAGTCAGACCTACATTTACGCTAAAAAAAATCCTCATGACCTATTTTTATGTAAAGAAAGTATAATGTAGAACAGTATACCTATAACACTCTTTTTTAATAAACAAATACCTGTGAGTGTACACTACACAGTTGTATACTGGAACAAGTATTGAACTTGTCAGATTGTTCACACAAGTACCTCTGGGAAGCACTGTAAAGCAGGAGAGATAAAGGGGCCAAGATGGGGGAACTAACCCTTATGTTCTTCATGTTGTCTTAATGTGTCTTAAGAATGTATTACTTCACAAACATTTTTAAAATTTAAATATACATTAGGAGGAGAGTAAAAAGGGATAAAAAATAATTAAGATGTGTTATGTACATGTACCAACTCTCCATGAGGAATGCAATCATTATGTACTACAAACATATACTAATAAAAATATATATATAAATACATATGAGAACATTTAAAGTTTCTACTCTTTATTTTCAATCTGAAAATCTTGCAGTAAGACAAACCTAAAACTTTAAGACTGAGTATTAGGTGGATTTAGCATCAATTCCAGTCAGAAAATATTTCACCTTTCCAAAAAATCTTCAGGAATTAGAGAAGCACGAGGTCTCAATAACCAATGATCAGTTATGAAGCTATTTCCAATTATAAATAACACCAGGCCCTTCCTCTCTCTCAGTCCCCCATTTCCTTACTACCTGGTGAGTTCTGTGAAGGCATTCTTGTTCTAACTTGAATATGTAGAACAGGCCTTTCAAATGAGACATGCTCAACATATGTTAACAGGCTGAATAGAAATGGCCACAATGCTTGGTTTTCCAGATAAACGCCCAAGTTCATTTTGGCAGAGGATTACTATGAATAGAGATAGTGTTAGGTCCCATGGTACACGTAAGGAATGATTCTGCTATCCGTAGAGCATCTTTTCCAAAACTTGGCACTATTGCTCAACCTTCAAGGTGTCAGAGGCAAGCAGAAACAATAGGAATAGTAAGATATACTTTAAAGAGCATCAAACACAAAGAAAAACATGACTTAGAAAGACGTTGTACTGACCAAAAAAAGCCACCATAAACTTAGAGTAAAAAACAAAACAAAACAAAACAACACTATGTCATTTGAGTTTCTAAAGGGCAAGAATCTGGGTTTCTTTCACTCTATATCCCTAGAACCTAGTACACAAAGGTGTTCAATCATTTGTTACTACATTAAGAAAGTGTAATTTGTAAATTAAACATAGTGAAAATTCAATTTGGATCATTTTCCTTCTAAATTTGAAAATTGAAAGAATGAAAAAATTAAGTCATTTCTGAGACTAGTAGGATATAAAAAAGTAGATGAAATAATTTCTTACCAAGATATACACTTTGCCATCCTGGCCTTGAATAGTGTATCTAAAAGTGCTTCTAGCTGAGGCGAGTTCTACCAGACATTCTGCAACAACACTCTGGACAAACTGAGACCTATTTGAACAGAAACCAATTTTCATAGTGCAACTTTCCTAGTAACTAGCAAGATAAGCCAACAGCACCCAGAAGGCACTCAAAAGGCACAGACGTCAGCATGTCACACTTTTGTGTTCACCGCGCCTTTCCTTACAGTCTGTGCTAATGTGGATTTTAGCATATTTTAATATATATTTTAATATATTTGTCTTTGTTCCATTCTAAATCATATTCTTTATTCACTAATCCCCTCCACTGACAAAAAAAACCACATTTGAACAAGTTGATATTTCATTTGTACTATAGCACAATAAACATGAATAAGTTACAAAAGGTAAGAAATTTATTCCCAAACAGTTTTATCTATGATTTATTTTTCTATTTAGATCTCCTGAAAGTGACAGCTCTAAGTACAAAATAAAAGAATATTCAGTAGGATAAAACTGAAGTTGATAATTAAATTAAGGATACCGGTTAAATTTTGTTTGTAAAGTAAAAAGATTAAAAGAAAATACATACTAACAGATTTAAAGGGCAAGTACATTTAAAAAAAAATTTTCCCCACACACTGGGCAAGTGCTCTACAAGAGTTACATTCCTACTTCCTCTCGGCCGCCCCCTTATTTTAAATCGTAAAACAGTGTCTCACTAAGTTATTCTGGATACCTGGCATATAGAAAGAAGCCTGCATGTATGCACACATGTTTACACACACGCACGCGTGTGCGTACTCTCTCTCTCTCTCTTTTAGAATTAGAAGAGTTATAGAGACACATCTGCTTAGCAGTAGTATCAAACCTATGGCACATATGCTGCATATGGGCTGTTTGTAACATTAAAACCTCTAAAAAGTTAGTCATCATTGGCAAACCTTTATATAATAGCAAATTATACCATTATATAAGCAAAACATAAATAAAACCTCAACCTGTTCATCTATGTGGTTTGGTTCAATTACCTAAAAGCGCTTCTCGAAAGTTTTTTCTCCTTTCTAAATAGAGTTATAAGTAAAAATGAATCCCCCACAAACTGTACTACTTTTCTACATTTGAAATTATAAAATAAACAATTTGTTATTTGTACCTTGGTATGATAGAAAAACTTCTCTCAGATGGCTGAATAATCACCTCTGTCATATAAAACTTAGTGGTTTCTAGAAACAAAAAGGAAAACAATTAAGACTCTTCTTTCCAATATACTACTTAAAAATGTATGAGTACATGTTTATAGTATATAATGTTTGTTTGCACACATCATGTGGAGCTAGTGTATGTGTGCAACACACCCTAATTCCTTTTTTCACACCCTTTCCCTCCCTTTTCTTCTGCCTCCCTCCATCTTTTGATCTAACAACTATTTTTTTTTTATTGTAGGTATGTGGGCTCTATCATGAAACCACAAATCAAATACTCAATGTACTGATGAAATTAATAGTTAATAAGCATTTCCAAAACCTTTGTTTCAAAGAGAGCACTGATGACTACAAGGGCATCGGTCCAAGGCACCAGACAGCACTGTGTCTGTTTGGAAATTCATGCTCAAAGTGAATGTGAAACGCAAGAATCTCTTTACTTACATGTAGGGTCATAAATATGAGCCGCATCAGAGTCTTAACCCATTTATGTAGAAATTAGGATTAGATCTCCTTATTTCTATAGAACAACAGTGAATTTCTTCATTTATATAAAAAATGAGTCACTGAAAAAGGCTTTTTAGTTAAAACTCACTAACTGTATTAATGTATAAGTCTCACTAAATCTGGCTATCAAATTACTTAGTTTACATAAAAGTTTAAACAATACAGTATATAATTAGTAGACATTAATATAAACACAGCTATCTTGTTTTTTTCAAACTCTATTAAAATATTTAATCTCTACATCCCCAGTAGCAAAAAACAGAAAAGATTTAATCTCATTATTACTAAAAGGAAAGTCAAATCTTTTTTTACGATTAAACAAAATATTTTAAGTGATAAGGTATTGTACTAGATATGCTTATAAAAATGTTTATTCTCTTTCTAAGGAACCATCATTGGTGAATTATCCCAGTCTTTGTCAGAAAATTTATTTATTTTTGCCTTCTTTGCTGAAGCATATTTTCCTTTGACATAAAATTCTAGGGCACTCATTGACAGTGTCATTCCAGTGCCTTCATATCACCATTACTTCTGCTCCTTTAAGGATATCTGCCATTTTTCTTCAGCTGCTTTTAATATTTTCTCATTGCTTTCTTTCTGCAGATTTACTCTGAGTACTAGGTATGTATTTCTTTTTATTTATCTCACTGAATTAGAATTCACTGCACTTCTTGAATCTGCAGCTTGTTATTCATTACTTTTGTAAAATTTATAACAATTACCTGCTCAAATGTGACCCATGTCCTATTTATCTCTTTTATTTGAGGAAGTCTCATTAAACACATGTCAGATGGTCTCTTCTGGATTCCAGGCGTATTCTATATTTTTTAATTTTTTTTTAATCTGTACACTGGATAACGGACTTTTTTAATCTTCTATTCATTGATTCTTTCTTCAGATTATACCTAATATGCTGTTAAACTACCCTGTGAATTTTTAATTTCAATTATAACCTGTGATGTTCACTGATTGTGATAACTTGAGTAAGAGAAACTCAAGTGAACTGGCTCAGTAATTCTGTACTCTGAGATGTGGAAGACCCAGCCTAGGGCAGCTTGTCACAGGGAAAATGAAGAAGGATAGATCTCTTTCTGATTCTTTAGAGGAGCTCCAGTGTTCAGCTTTCCCTTGGATGGTATCTAACTTTGAGCATAGACTCATCAGTCTCCTGACATGGGCTCTCACCTGACACTATAGTGAGCCCCAGACCTCCCACTGGATCCTTCTCTCTAGCCTGCAGAAAGAACTCTCTGTACTCTTCCTCATCTCTTCTGTGGGTGACCAATGTAAGTCAATCTTGTAAATTCTTATACTTATGTACAGCATGTATTCTATCTGTTTCTCTAGTAAACACTGATACATAATATATTATTTTTAGAAATTCTACTGTATCTTTTTCCAAATGTACTCAGTGCTAAAGTTTTCTTTTTTTGTTTGGCTCTCTTCAAGTCTTTTCTATTGTTAATAGACTAAGTATGGTTGGTTTATAGTTTATATACCATAATTTCACTAAAAAGCCTGTTTCCACTGTCAGCTGTTGTTAGTTCTTGTTAATGAAAATCTCTTTAACTTGTGTGCCTACCTATCTTTAGCTGTGTGTTGAACACTACTTGTGGGAATGATAACTTTTACGACAAAAGTGTTTCCTCCCAGAGGTGACCTGCATTAGACTTTGTCAAGGCACATGTCCAGTCAATGTACACTTCACTAAGTTCAAGACTTGAAATTCCCTAAAGTCCCCAAGGATTAGTATCCATTTATAATCTTACAGGGCTCTCCACTTGATTCCCTGCCCTTTTAGAATTTGGGATACTTTTGTAAAGACAGGGTTTTCCCTTCTCGTGGAAGTTTTCTTTTTTGTCCTTCTCATAGCAATAAAAACAAATCTCTAACTACAAAGTTAGCAAACTGTAGGAAAAATCTAATTTGCATTACACGTGATGCTTACTTGCTTTTGTGGTAATTACTCATCCGTTTTCCGCTTTGCCCACTCGTGCTTCCTGCTTATGTGTTCCAGTTACCAGTGTCTTTCACTTCAGCTTGTAATGTTATTTCCAAGTATTTATCTAGAAATATCCTCATTTTGCCTTTGTTTAAAGGCAAATTTTACTGGCTATACACTTCTGGTTGACAGGTCTTTTGTCCTCAGTACTTACATATTTTATTTGTGCCTTCTACAGGTCAGTATTTCCATGAGAAATCTACCTTATTTGTATCATGAAATCCCTATATACAATATTTTGTTTTGTTTTCTTGCTACTTTCAAGGGTCTCTCTTCCTCTTTGATTTTCAACAGTTTAACTGCTTAGAGTTCACTGAAATTCTTAGCTCTGAAAAAAATATTTTTAATTAAATTGGATAAGATTTTAGTCAATTTTTTTCTACAAATTTATTTCCGGCTCTTTTCTCCTCATCTTCTAAAAATCCACTTGTACGTCTGAGGAAAGACTTCACATTGTCCCACAAATGTGGGTTTTGTTCCTTTTACTTCAGATTATATCTACCGGGTTCTTTGGATTTGCTTATTTGTATTAATCTACAAGTGCAATTTTTAAAAAATTTTCTGTCATATGAAGTCTACACTTAAATCATATAGTGAATTATTTTTAGTTACGATGTGCTTCAATCTGAAATTACCAATTTGTTATTTCTTTGAAGTTTCCAATTTATTGACATTTGCTATTTGTTCACTCAAAGGTTTTTTGTCTTAATATTTTGCCATATTTATAGTAACTACTTCCAGATATTCATTTAAATCCATATTGTCTAAATCCATACTTAACACCTGTTTATTGAGTCCTTTTAGTTTCTTAAATATGAATCACTCTTGTTTCTTTGCATGTCTGATAAAGTAAAACACTATATGTACAACTCTAGATTTTTATTTTCTTTTCGATGAAGGTTGTAGATTTAGTATACTAGCCAACTAACTTACATTGTGAAATCTGTCGGGGGGGGGGGCCGGGGATTTAGCTCAGTGGCATAAGCGCCTGCCTTGCAAGCAGGCAGTCATGAGTTCAATCCCCGGTACCGATAAAAAGGAAAAATACAAAAGAAAAAAAAAAAAATCTGTCTCTCCCCCATAGCATGCAGTCATTGATATCTCTGCTCAGTTTTATTCTGTTCATCCTGGTTCCCTACAGCATCTACCACACCTGCATAGTTTAGCTGTTGGCAAATCATTTGGGAGAGATGTTCTATATAACTACCCAAGCCAGTGACTTCTTACAAAAATGACTTTCTACAGCCCAAGTTATATGCGGAGTGAGAAAAGCAGTCAAAAGCAAAGTAAATTCAGAGGTCTCCCTAACCTTTCAGGCTCTCTGGCATTTTTGGCAGTAAAAATATTTTTGATGCTAATTCTGTACTTGCTTTTTGTGGGCTGGAACTGTCAATTTTCTTAATAACATCATTTTAAGAACTAGAGTCCTATTAATTTACTTTTAGAGTAGATGGGTATATAGCTCCTAGGCAACACAGTCACTTATATTGACTCATATCCTTATATTACATCATAACTTTGTTTAAATGATATCCAGAATTTGTATTACTATCATCAAAATGATACCTTTCTTCCTTTTGTTTTTCCTGTAATGAATAGTTGTTTTCCCTTTTTCATTTGTTTTCCGAGAACCTCCACCTAATTCCTCCCAAATGATGTCCCAAGAGTGTTTTCTTACATGCAGACATGACAGAATTTACCAATTCCACCTCATTAATGAAAAAGTCTTCCCTACAATCTTCCTTCTCCTTGCTTCAGTCCAAGCTGCTTTTCTCTAAATCAGAGCCCAACTCACACACTTGACCTTTTCCACCTTGGTTTTGTTTTGCATAACCAGTTTTCTGTCACCTCTAAATTATATTAATGATATAGATACATACATACATTTAGGATTCCTAAGTAAAATATGCTCTTGTGGTCTATATTTGAAATTTCAAAAGTATACCTATTAACTTTTTTTTGACTAGTGATTTGACTGTGTATAGAATTCTGGGCTGTAACTTGATCACAAATTATGAAGGCATTACTTCATTAGTTTTCAGTTCTACTGTTAAGTTTAATATTATTCTAATTCGTAATTCATTGTACGCTAACTGCTTTTTCCCATCTGGAAAATGTATCGTTGAGATTGTGAAACTATTCCATTTTATCCCTCAATTAATTATAATGGGTACTTAGTGATTCCTTTCCATTAAGAAACTGAAGCTCTAGCTCTCAAAAACAGTCATGTGAAGTGCTTTTCCTAGTTTTGTCTTTAGTCATTTCCTACATCCTGTTGTCTCCATTTCCACTAGGATTGCTAAGCACTAAAATAAGAGATAAGCAAAATGGACCATGCCTCTATCATTAGGAAACTTAAATGATGATATATAGTTTATATATACTTCTTTCCTAATTTGCCCTCTCTGACTTTTGGTATAATTTTAGGGTACTTCCTTAATTTTATCTCGTAGTAAAATACTTTGATATTTTCAGCCACCACATTTTTAATTTTATGTCCTTTAGTTATAAAACTTACCTTGTTTCATCTCTCCAAGGATCTTGTTTTCTTGTACTCTTTACCTAATTTGTTTCTTCTTAGAGTTTCTATTCTATTTTCCTGATTGATAATTTATTTCCCTCAATCTCTTTTATACTGGGAATTTCCAATAATGCTGTATTTGGTTTTTTAGAAATACATTAACATTTAAATGTAAGGCAATGAAATTTTGAGAAGAAGCTCTTAGGTGTAGGTACATGGTTTGCTGACTACAGGATAACTGAATATAAATTCTTGAACAACATAAAACCCTTTTTAGTTTCATGACCCCTAAGAATCAGTGTCTGTCTTTTTTCCTATTGGTATTCTTTCATTAGTAAAAGAAAAGGTACTCCAATCCTGTCCTGAGGATTGCATAAGCAGACTGACAAAAGAGAAAGGAAACTTAAGAATCTAGTATCTCCATATATAGACTGCGAACTAATGATCCTGCTTGCAGCTCTTTGCTTTCAAATTCAGACCCATTCTACAGTTCTACAAGGGATACTGGCTCAGTCCTCATCCAGATGACCTCATCTAGATGGCCAAGTGTGTTTCAAACAGCTTGCTCACATCTCCTATTAATATGACTGTGATTTCCTCCTCATTTGTCTTTTTTTTGGATATACACCTATGTTTTTATTCCTTAACTAGCATTTTAACTGGGCTTCAGGGAGGAGAGAAAAGGATTTTTAAACTAGTCCACCTTATTTAATTTGAAACTTTAAATTTCTAAGGTGTTGCTTAAGGGGTTTGTTTTCATTCTCCAAAACTGTAATAAGGATAGCATCCCCACCACTGCTCAGTCTTCCTTTTGGCTCCTTCTGAGCAAAACTATTTGTAAGATTTTGATGATTTGCAAAACATACAAAATAACACCATCTGCTTTCCCTTAAATCAACAGCTTCACTTAAATTATACTTTCTAATTAATTATATTAAAAGTGATTTTTCATCACCCACAAAACTAACACAGCATATGGTAGCTCTCTAGACATTATAAACTATATCTTTAAACAATGTTTTAATTATCAGGATTTTCATTATTATATTTTAAAGTAGTATAACAGAGAGTTTACAGAAAATACGGTTAACATCACTAGGAAAAGAACACAAAATAATGTATAAAACTTCGAATGTATTTTCTTCCATTTCAACAGGTCCTCTGCAACCTCTTGTCCTAAAATAGAGTCCTAAGGCAGATGGCAGCCAAGCACAGTAACTTCTCCATCTCTAGGAATGACAGAAACAAACTGAAACTTTATAGTATTGCTTTCTACTACAAAGAGGACATGAAACATTGAAAATAACCCAATTTCTCAGTGCTTGAAAATCAATGCAAAATACACAAATGCTTTGGCATGACATATTAATTGGTTTCTAGTTTTAAAAAGCATCAATCCTATAAAATATTAATAATCTTTCACACTTAATTACTATGAAATCTCCTTCTGTCTTTAGATAAGGAAGTAATCACTTCAGCTTTACATTATGAAATTCTTACCTGATGACACAGTCGCTCCCAATACTACCTTGCAACGCTTACAAATTACCTTGGTATTTGCTTTTGGTTCCTGTAGAACAGAAAAAATGTCATTTAAATGTCATTCAGCTTTTCTTAAAAGGAATATATAATTTTAACACAGTCTCCAGAGTATACATTGAACTTTACATTTTATTCTGCCCTCTGCTAAATACTGGGAATATGTGTAGCTTGTATGCATAATTCACATACATAGAGATCATCTTTTTTCCTTGTCTTACGACATAATAATGCACTGATTGACTTTTCTAAACTAGCCATTTATTGATACTGATTTCCACAAATGTAATTTATTTTTCTAAAAAGCGCTTGCAAATATCCCTATAATTTAGAGCAGGGAGATGGTAGGTGACAAAGGCAAAGGGAGTTAATTACTTACCCCAACTCTTACACAGAGAAAACATAAAAATCATACCTTAAAATCATATTATTTTGATTCCTAATCCAGTACAATGTATATAAAATAACCCATAACTTATAGCCAACGATATTTCAGAAGTTAAAATATCTAACTTGTTCATATAATTTACTTCTCATATTTAAAATATGCTCTATAACTCAAAAACAGTGTTCAGATTCTGAAATACTGTTAGGCTTCAAAAGTTCAAAGTTCTAAATTCATTATGTAGGATTTGGATTAAAACAGATAGCATTCACCTAATTCTTAAACAATGAATGCCTCTTTTCAAATTCAGAGTCACAAGTTTGTTAAACCAATACAACATTCCTCTCAAACTTATTTGCTGCCATAAAGAAGCAGGCAGGGAAAAAGAAGTCCTGCACTCCGGAGGCCACTCCCCAGGCAACTCCAGAACACAGTATGGAGTGAAGGCCAGTGAATTTCTGATGGAGGATTAGCATATGCATTAATCTATAAAATAAGTTTTAAGTGATTGGTATAAGTCTGAATGTATTTTCCTTTTGCATAATTTTTTCCCGAAAAGTGGCATAAAATGCACATTGAAACTTAGTGCCATGGACAGGTTAGTATTAAATAGAGCCAATATTTAAATCTGATATTCTGCACAAAAGCTTATCTTCATAGGCACTAAGTACTTTGCAAGATATACACCATTAATTCATGGCGTAAATTCCATTACTTATAGCCAGCAATTAAAAAAATGAAATCGAAAAGAAAATATGACTGTATTTTAAAGGTATTTTAAAGAAACTTTAACTTTTGGTGTGTGTATATATGTGTGTGCATATGTATGTATGCATGTGTGTTTGTGTGATCAGATCTTTATGTAAAAACTATATATCCTCTTTTAGTAAAAAGTCAAAAAACCAAAAGCAACTGTGCAACTTATATTTGGGTTTTTCTTTTTAGCGCAATCTCAATACCATATTACTTGCAAAATTCCATAAACGCCCCATGGCTCTTCCCTATAGGAAGAACTCCTGCGAATCCCTTCAATATGCTGAATTAACCTTCAAGAGTATACAAATTTATTCCATTTTCCCCTAGGCTAGCTGGAGGATTTGTACAGAATTTTCAGTCTTTCTCTAAAAGTCTCTGCTGAGCGAACAAGCAAATAAGGCTCTCATCTGGCTCAAACATTTGTCCAGGCACACACAAACCACAAACTGTGCCATCTCTGACTATTGCTCTGAGAAACATAACATCATTTTACTCAGCACATCACAGATAGCAGGTAACAGAACCCAACCAAGGTGACTGACTGGATGGCATCATTCCTATCAGAGAAAACAGACACAGAAACCAAGAAAGAAACCAATTTGCTCAGGCTATGAAGAAGGGAGCTAAGACAGCAGATACACAGTACTCAGTCGTAGAAGTTGACATGGCACTTTCTTACTCTTTTCCGGTAAAAGACATCTATTTGGCCCCAAATTGATAGTCTTTTCTAAAAATAATAGTTTTTACATTTGAATTTAATCATATGCATTAAATCTTACCAAAAACTAAGAGTATATTTTTTTAGTAGAATAGGGTATTAGAATAACAAAACTTTCAAAGAAATGGTTTTTTATTCAAAGTCAAAAAAAATTTTGTTAGGTGCCCTATGATACATTTTATTTATAATTGTCTCCAAAGAATATTTCACATACTTTCATACAAAGAGGAAAAAATTTTTCTTTTTCTTTTCTTTCTTTTCTTCTTCTTTTTTTTTTTTTTTTTTTTTTTTTTTTTTTTTTTTTTTTTTTTTTGTTGTTGTTCTGTAAAATGATATTCTACAGACTAAAACTGGCAACAGAATACAGCCTCTTCAGGATCTGGAATCAAGACATCTGAAAAACAACTTGGTAAAAAAAAAGCAAAAACAAACACACACACACACACACACACACACAAAGAGAAGATCTCTAGAAATCTGAAGGAAGCTGTCAAGAGAATTAGAAACTACAGAGATACTGGAGAAATGGTGCAAAAGACAGAGAAAAGAATGAAACAGTCCAGAAACACTGGCTCGCAAGGAGGGGAACTATCCTCACTAACACAAAATAAGCCAGGAGAGCAGTCCCAAGAAGCATCAACAAACCAGGCCAACTGTGACAGGCTCAAGAAAAGCCAATGGTTATTGTAAATCACAAAGATAGTATGGGGTTTTACTCCAAAAGTGGCTCCTTCAAGGTGGGCCAGAGTTGGAGAAGATATCCAGTACAGTGTGCATCATATGTGAGTGTTTAATACATTTATAATGCGACCATCTTTCCATGTCTGGCTGACAAGCACTTCTGAAGATCTGGTGATACATGCAAGATTGTCCCATTGAATGGTACGGGGCAGTCATGCATAGATCAACAAGCCAGCAAAGAGGTGTTAATTAGGAAAGGGGTCAAATGTTTAAGAATGAGCTATAGAAAAAAATATACTTCTGGGTTTCTGGAAGTGACTGGATTGATAGTGCCAGAAGTAACAGCTAAAAAAAGGGTACAGGCTAGACATAAACCACCTGAGACACTTAAGCTCCAGCCAGGAAGGACATGGGGTTCCACTGCGATGACAAGCTGAACAATGAGACAACACCCAGGATTTGGAGGCAGATTTATTTACACTGATGGGTACTGATTGGAATCATTTCCAAAATACCAAGCTCTGATATCTGGTGATCTAGGGCTTACATGGGATAAGTACATAGTCATTTGGGGATTGGTTAACACAATGTGCAGCACTGTGACCAGCTACTTCTAAGTGACAGAAGCAACTAGAACTGGAGCAGGAATTATTACCTGGGCAATTAAGAAACTCAAGTATACTGCTGGGACAGGAATACATTTTCTGTTAAATCACCCCTGAAATGGAAAAACCAGGCCTCTTATTTCAGCTTCATTTCAGAGGGGGCTGGGCCTGAAAGTGCTGGCATTAAATCCAGCAGACTTCTAGACACACTCTCCACCCCGTACTGCTGCCTATATCTGACACACAGCTCATTGGTCTGTTTTCCGTACCTGCCAACATGATCACGGATACACCTCAGCTTGGCAGCTGCTATAGCCTGGATACATGGGCAGAGGGAGCCCTGGAGCAGAATGGAGGACAGCCAGCTAACCCATGGGCTATAAATCTAAGTGGAGAAAGCCTTGATTTGGGGTAAATGCAGGGAAATGAAAAATGGGAGGGACTGGACACCACAGACAGACACCACTGACTGACCACACCCAGCAGAAGGTGGCACAAGTTTCACCATTCATGTATAAAAAGTGTGAGTCTGGAAATAAATATGTCTGCCTAGTGACTCAATAGCCTTCTACCATAGCTGGTGGGCTGGAATGCTACATATTTTGAAAGTAAGAAACATTCATTCAAAAAGAAGAGGATTTATTTTTGGACTCATTTCTCCTTTTTTTTTTTAAATTGGTTTTTGAAGTTTTGGGGTTTTTCTTTGTCTTTTTTTCATTTTAAATCATTTTGCTCTGTCATCTTTTTCTTATTTGTTCTTTTCTGTTACTTTTATCTAATTCTATTAATTTTCTAATATTCCTTAATAAGATTCATTATCTTACTTTTTCTTATTGTTCTTTATTTTTCAAATTTTACTTCATTTTTCATCTCTCTTGTCCTCCGTATTTACTAGTAAGTTTTATGAATATTTACATATTTAGCTGATTCTATGCTATTATTGTTGAATTCTTATCTATTGTTAGTGGTAGTTACAGTTGGTTCATTCAGTAGACATTTACTGTATGACAACATTTAGTTTATCTTTGTGTCTGTATTATAAATTTCTTTTTGGGGGTTGGGGATATAGCTCAGCAGCACAGAGCCTGCCCAGCAAGCATGAAGTCATGAGTTCGATCTCCAGTACTAAATAAATAAATAAATAAATACTTTTTATTCTTAAGGCTAGTACAAGGGTAGCTTTTATTGGTTCTTATGGTATATCAATACTCGAATTTTCTGTCTATATTATTGTTGCTGATTTTTTTGTTGCTATTGCCAGGGTGGCAAAGTTGTTACTAACTGGTTTTTACTTCATGCCAATATCTGTTTCTCTTTGTATCATCAACAATACTGTGTTTCTTTTCCTGAGAACTAGTACACAATCAATTATAATACACCTCTCTCTCCCCCAAATTAACAGAGGAGATCAGATGTTGGGACAGAGGCAAAAGCCTATAAGATTAGCCAAGGATAAAGTACCACTAGAAAGTAGATGCTGGCAAAGAGATCTCCATACTATACATACAATAACTTGTTTCCAGTATAGTAGATCTGGAACCGTCGGTGCATATACACAGACACACACACACACACACACACACACACACCCCATGAGAAAACAAGGCAACGAAATGCTCCCAAAAATTTGCACTCCCCCAAAACTGATCAATAAGGAACCAATTGGAAGAAAATAAAAAGCCAAACAGCTGAATTAATATGGAAATGATTTTTAATTTTTTTTTTGTCTTTTTCGTTTTTATCGGTACCAGGGATCGAACTCACGACTGCCTGCTTGCAAGGCAGGTGCTTTATGCCGCTGAGCTAAATCCCCAGCCCCTGGAAATGATTTTTAAAAGACAACCAAAAAAGCAGTAAGATGCTCCCTGAACTCAAAGATGATATAA